GAGAAACACAACTAACTCTTGGTATCTGTAGTTTCTACCCATCTCACATGATTGTTATAAAGGTTAAGAATGTAAAAGTCGCTTGTAATATACAAAGTACAGTGCACATGTAAGGTACATTACTAGTCAGTCCCCCTCTAATTCTTAATAAAAGTTTAAAATAAGGGCAAGAAATGGCACAGGATAGAACAGAGGTATACAAAGGTCAAGCGAATAAGACAGAAAGATAAAAAGGAAAGCCACAGTTTATTGGTCTCTTGTGGTTTGTCTCGTTCAAGTTCACCTAGCCTGATGGAGTCAGCTCAAAGAGAAACCACCAGTGAGACTTAGACTAACAGTGTAATGTGTTCCCAACCCAATAATAGTGAGAAGGGATTTAGGTTAAAGATGCACTTCCAAAGAAATGACATTTTAAAGAAAAAGTCCCAACATCATTAAAGCTGAAAGAGCCTCAAAATAATTGTTATACCATTTAAAATCTCAAGAGAACAGAACAGAAGCAGCAGTTGCCAAAAGAACAAAACCCTTTTAAGATGCACATACAGACAAAAAAACACACTAAAAAAAGTCCTTACTTTTTATATACTATTCATTTCTAATGAATTAGTTTTAGCTGTAAAATAAAATGCTTAGTGATTTATTCCTAACAGGAAGATGTACACCAGTAAGAGGAAGTAGAAAGTAATGTATTTACTATGTAAGTAAAATCAGTGGATCAGTGAGATGGGAGCAAAAGTCAAGTATAATGGACGCACTGTCATAATGTGGCAAGTCCATCAATAACGGTAATAAAGGGATTTCTAAAGCACAGCACTTAATACTGTTAGGAGAAAAAACTGCAGATGCCTCTCAGTGGGCACAGCATGGTACAACCTGGGTATAAAGATAAGAAAAAAAAACATGTATTGTATTCTTACACAAAAACCATGAGAAATGGAGAAATGGAAATACAAGTCAATGTGAAGACTTTATCAATGCTCACAGCAGCTTTCTTTCTAATAGCCAAAATGTGGCAATAATGCAAATGTCTGTCAATAGGTGAATGTATATACAAACTATCGCTGGGTATGGTGTGACACACCTGTAATCCCAGTACTCTGGTAAGCGGAAACAGGAGGATCCCAAATTCAAGCCCAACCTGAGTAACATAGTAAGAGACCTTGGCAAAAAAAAAAAAGGGGGGGTGCAGATATAGCTTAGTGCAAAGGTACTGGGTTCAATCCCAAAAAAAAAAAAAAAAAAGATATATATTACTGATACACAATACATATGCAAGAATTTTGAAATAAATATGCTAAGTGTAAGAAACTTTACTAAAAGAGTACATATAAGAGTACATGAGTTCAACTATATAAAACTGCAGGAAATGCAAACTATAGCTAATATAATGGACAGACAGCAGGTCAGTGGTTACCTAGGGATAGGGGCACAGGAAGAAGCAAGAGGGAGGGACATGTGTAGGAAACTTTAGGAAGTCTAGTGTACGTTTATTTGTTTGACTGTGGTGGTTTCTCAGATCTATAAATATGTCAAAACTTCTTAAATGGTGGACTTCAAAAGTGAACAATTTATTATAAGTGAATTACACTTCAAAAAGCTTTGTAAAACTAAAAAATTACTTGCTTTGTACCCCAAACTTGAAAATATCAAGTATACAAGTAAGAGAATAAGACTGTGAGGCCCTTTCCAGTGTGAGCACATGCCTAAAAAGTAATCTTCAAACCTGTATGTCAATTCTAAGCTGCATATCACTCCTCAAGGCTCAAACTGGTAACTTGAACTAAGAAGAGAATTTGCAAGGATGGTGTCAGTTTACTGAGGTTTCTTGTGGATAAGGAAACCTGCAAAGCTCACACTGGTCCCTTTTGTTCTGGGCTCCCTTTCTTCTTTGTCCTTTACACAGCACAAAGCTGCAGCCCTTGTGTTTGCAGGAGCTGGGGCTATCAGGAAGGCCCTGAACAATGTAACGTTCTATCTTCATGTCTCTCCCCTGCCTTGAACAAATGCACAATTTTGTTAAAAGAAGCAAATTTACCCTAATATTGGATATAACCAAACCAAAAAAATTATAAAAGTTTATGCTATCAACAAAAATATATATATCAGAAAAGGGGCATCACAGAGGAGAAATAGTTCAAGCCAAGCAGAAGGCAGCAAAGTAGCTAAGAAGCAACAAGCAGTGACAACAGCAGCCCTCTTTCTGTTCCTTATATTCTATCCAAGGTATCAGCCCAGGGTGGATAGCATTCATGCCCAGGGTGGGGCAGCATTAATCCTAGCCTCACACCTTGAATCAATCCCAGAACCACATCCTTAATCCCAGCATCACACACTCTAGATCCAGCAACCTATGGACTGCGTGAGGCTTTAGGGGAGACGCAATACAAATCACAACAGTCATGCATCCTTCAAAAGCCGCCTTCCCCAGGATCTAGATATAATACAAACTTTTAATGGCACTGCGAAATATTCATGACTGATTACAAAAGTCCATTTTCCCCAAGACCTCAGAGAGAAAGCCTTACTATGGCCCACATCTCTTGATTTCTACCCCAGTGATTTTCTCACTCAGTCATTAATTATTAAGTAACATGATATAGGGTTCACAGGTGGTATTATAGATGAAGGAATCACAGGGCTTTCTTCAACCACATGGTGGAAAACTAGCCTCATCTTACGAATACACCTGCTAAAAATAAGTCATTTAAAGGTTTTGACAAAGATGAGGCATCTACACATTGGACTTTGAGGATCTGCTTAAAATTTTCTGCCAATCTGGGGGAAGAGACATCTTCAGAGGCAGATCTTGTGAACCTGTATTATATTCTCCTATCATACTCACTCTAAATTTTTTTTTTATCTTCAGAGATGCTAGATGATTTGTGGAAAGATCAGACTTCTTTAATAACCCTACAGTTTATAATACACATCACAACAAATATTCCTGTGCACTATCCTTATTCTCCACTATAACCTGCCTTCAACTCATAAAAACACAAAACCTTTTTGTAAAAGATGATGAGCATTTTTCTTCTGCCCTACCAGCCAGATGATGTGTCCCCTACTCAGGGACTATGCAGTAGCTATGAAATCCTGGAGCAAATCTGCTCTTGCTAAGGATAAGAAAGAGCACAGAAACCTCGGTAGACAGACCTGTTTCTGGAGTTTTCAGAATGAAGAGATTTACAATAGGGTGGCAATGCCATATCAATCACGGTTCTACAATAAGACATAAGAGCAGTGATAGCATTGTTTCAGAGGCCACAGGGATAACAGACATTTCAAGGTTCCCTAATCTATACAATTTCCTTGAACTTCTTCCTCCTCCTCCTGACATAAATAATGCCCCGACCTCCTACAGTTTTGTTCAGATAATCAAAACAACGTTTACTGGTTGTTTGCTTGTCTCTTCAAAGAGCACTTACTTTAATCTAGAGACAGAAAACGTGAAAGTGATAGAAACTTTTAAAAGTCTATCTCATTGCCAGGGATGTGGCTTAGTGGCACAACTCCTGCCTGGCAAGCGCAAGGTCCTGAGTTCAATACCCAGTACTAGGGGAAAAAAAAGTCTATCTCATTAAGTAATTTTAAAATAGGAGTAGTTACACATCTTTGATTTACCACTTCAAGGCTTTTTCTTCTAGATTTCTTTCTCTCAAGGTTGTGATAAAGTTCCCCTGCTCCCCCTCCGTAATCTCTGGACTCTGAAATCGTCCTCCAAAATTCTTATAACCTTCTAACCTTCTTTTATATCTGACAATGCCTTTTAAAATTTCACCTTTTAGTTCTTAGATCTCTTTTACCTTATTTCACAAAAAAGGAGGTAAATTTAATCGCTACTTGTGTAGGAGAAACAATATACCATACAGTTACACTGCTAAAACAAGCCTTATAATCATTTACAGAGGGTGTTTGAAGTCTGGCATGTTCTTGTCTTAATCCTAGCCTTTTTTGTTGAGCTCACAGTCCTACATTTTATTCCCAGTGCCACCTTGCTGCCCCCAAAAAGCTACCAGGTCCTGTAAATTTCTCTCCTATATATAATTAAATTCTTGTACCGCTCAATCAATCTTAATAATCGATCATCAGTTTTCTAAGAACCTAAACTCCATTAGAGGAATATATTAGAATTTGTCCAAAGGACTAGTGTACAATTGTCTCAAAATAAAGGGTATATGATAATGCAATCAAAATAAATTTTGAACTTTGATAAAAGTTTACTTTTATCAAAGAAGAGTCTTCACAAATGTGAAGTTTTCCTCACACTCCACACCCCAATACTAGGGACTGACCTCACTGCTGAGCTGCATGCCCCACCATGCCCTATTTTATTTTGAGACAAGAGTCTCTCTAAATTGCCCAGGTTGGCCTCACCCTTGTGATGCTCCCGCCTCAGTCTCTGGAGTAGCTGGATTACAGGCATGCACCACCACACCTAGACCTTAAGATACTTTTCAAGAGACAAAATATTTCATACATAGATGATCTCTATCATCTTTTTCTTTTCTTCTTTTCGAGACAGGGTCTCGCTATGTAGTTCAGGCTGGACTTGACCTCACTATGTAGCCCAGGTTGGCCTCAAAACTGTTGGTGATCCTCCTGCCTCAACCTCCTGAGTACTGGGATTACAGGTGTATGCCACCACACCCCAAAACAGCTGTTATAAAAATTCATATATTTAATAGTAGAATTACATTTAGGGTTTAAATTTAGGATCACTCATTTAGGAATTACTATTGAAATAACAGTATTTGCTTTTAACCTCAAAGTGAAACTCTACTAATGAAAAAAACCACAGAATAGCTTTATAAAAGCAAACTCAAAAGGGAAAAAAACTCAGACTAAATAGCATTTGAAAATAAAGCCTTGTCTTGAATAACTCGAAAAGAAAATGACTTACCAAAACTGAAGAAAAGTCTGCAACAGATACTTATTCTTAATTTTCCCCATATAAGGAGAATGTAAGCATAAAGATTTCATACAGTAGTGCAAACACATACCTGTTTTAGGATGTATTGAAAAGAATCCTTGTGGATTTCCACTTGTAATTTTGTACATCAACTTGTCATTAGAGCTAGAATCTGGATCAAATGCTTCAATTTGGACTACAGATATATCCTTAGGAGAATTTTCCATTATTTCTGGATAATAAACAGGCTCTGAAGTCTGTGGTGCATTGTCATTGACATCTTCAATCTCTATGTAGATCTCTATAAATGATGAAAGTGGTACGACAGCCCGATCAGCTGCATAGACTGTTAGCCAATAATGGGACATCGACTCACGGTCCAGTAGATCCGAAGTTTCTAGGACACCTAGAGAGAAAGAAGCAAAATATAAAGCAGCATGTCAACAACAAAAAAAATGCCACTCTGAGAAGGTGTCAACCTAAAAATAACTTATTAAAGATTATGTGTCACTTACTAGTTGTGTGATCTTAGGCAAGTTATCTAACCTTTCTGTACCTCTCAGTTTCATTTCCTACATAGAGATAATAACAGTATGTTCCTTATGGGTTGATTAAATGAATACATATATGATGATTACAATATCATATGCTACATAATGTTCTATAAAAATATAGAATTAAGTGTCCATCAAGCACTCAAGTGCTTTTCTTTTTTGGTACCAGGGACTGAACTCAGGACCTTGCACTTGTGAGACAGGTGCGGCACCACTAAGTACTTGAGTACTTTTTTAAAGTGCTCAAAACAACTCCTTGAATGGGTACTAAGTGATCATCTAAGAACACAAACTCTGTATTTCCAAAGATGAAAATTATGGCTGGCTGGCATATGATGGCTTTCCGACAGGTTTACCTCCAATCTGGCATCCCATGCTCCCCACACAGCATTCCTTTAGCCACTGTCGATCTTGGGGAAGAAGATAGGAAGATCACTGTATTAGTCAGACTTACACACTTCCTTTTAAGTGGCCAAGAAAACAGAGCACAAACCTTCAAATTTCAGAATGATGGATTGCTCAGGTCTCTCTATTAGTGCACTGAGTTCTTCCTTTTAGTCTCATTAAGCAAACCATAAGACGATCAGCATGGTATTAAAATATAAATTCTTCAGCTACACTAGAAACTGTGAAAGGGTATATCCTTCTCAAATAGTCTGTACAAAGCTCAGTAAATTTTTATCAAATGAATAAATAAAATACCTAAGTATTTTAACTGGGGCTAATATAAAAAATCTTCCACTGAGAATCAAACCCTTAGGACACATTTCTTGTTGGTCAACAAATAAAAGATGGAATAATGATTATCAGAAGGTTATAGTATCTGCAGTGTTTTGGGCCAGCCATTGAAAATTATCAATGCTTTAATTAATCCCAGGCTTAACAACCTCTCAAAATATTTAAAAGTGCAAATGGTAATTTGTCTTAGGCAAATCCTACTTTTTTATTCAATAGTCTAATCTTGTCCTTTAGTTCCCCAAATATATCACTGCATTTCTTTTTCATGGATTGGTCATTCTGAATTTATGATAACTCTTAGTGTTCAACACCATGGTTCAGGCTGAACTTTAAATATCGTCTACCTCTAGAATCACTAGCTAGTATTTTCAATTTAATGGAAAATATTGTAAGGAAAACAACAAATATCAATTTCATCTGTTTTCAGCAATGAAACATTTTTACTTCAACCAAAATCTGTATTCTCATTTTTTTGAAAAATCACATGTATTTACTGTATACAACATGACACTGTGAAATATGCATTTATTGACTGAGTTAACTAAAATATTCATTACCTCAGTTACCATTTTGAGGTAAGAACACAATATCTATTCTCTTAGCAATTTTCAAGAATACATTGTTATTAACTACATTCACCATGTTTGCACGTGTATTTTATGATCATAAAGTATCTGCATATCTGAGGTTAATATCAAAAAAACTTATACTGAGTGCTAGAAACTTAAGTAAGTACCTGTGAGATGAAATATAGTAAGATGAATGTTTATGGCCACCAAGAAGCACTGTAATTACCTACAATTGCTTCATTAATTCTCACTGAACTTTCCAAAAAGGTCTTTAATTCTACTAGACACACAGAACAAAAGCCTCAGAACTAAAGGAGCTAAATGATCTGTTTAGGTGATAACATCTGAAGATAAACTCAAATATGCTTCCCCTTTACCTCAGACTTAAGTTATACATACTCAATCCATTCACTAAACTAGTAAAATTACATTTATTGTCTGAAAGAATGATCATTTCTAGTTTCTGTTATTCATCATCCCTCTCCCCTGACACAATGGAAGTTGGGGATACAGGATGTTTTCCATACTAACATTACATATGAACAAAATAAATGTACTTATGCTCTTCTTGTGTTCTGCCACTTTATTACAATGCAATTAAATTAATTTGGCAAGTAAAGTATTATTGGAAAATTTCAAGTAGACAGATACCTGGCGATTTTATTCATCACTTTTTCATGCTGCTGTCTACTTTTTTAAAAAACTATCCTTTTACATATGATCATAGGCATTTTAAAAAAATGATAACCACAGAAACCATTTACTCAATGCTTACTGTATGTCAGGCACTATAGGTATTTTACACATATTATCTTATTTAATCTTTACTTCTAATGTCTCTATGCATGTGGTTCTATTATCCCCATTCCATGGAAGAAAATTCAGAGATAACAAATTTTCCCAAAGTAAATGGCAGAGCTGAAGTTAATATACCTAGAATCTGATTTAAAAATCAGCAAACTTCCCTGTTAGCAGTCCTATCGATAGTATGAAAAACATGGATCAAACCAAACTTAACACAGTAACTCTGAAAAGACAAGTAGGACTTCATATTACATATGCTTTGTGTACATGTCAGTAATCAAGAAAGGTATTAAACGCTCATTCATATACACAAGTTTTCTCTAGCATCAGATGAAAGGAAAAAACATATCTAAAAGGCAAATATGAGGTTTATAATAGACAAAAAACAACACTTCCTTTCCTCCTCTATTCCTAGCCAGACTGTTTATGACTTCTGCCGGGAACTGCCTCTCCCACTCAACTGGCCAACCAAGGAAACAGCTGTATACTTCTTTACATGACCTCTAGTCACAGATAGTAGCAGAATTTTGAAGTGCTCCAAAGAATCTCTAGATATTAAAAGGTTAAAAATGAGACAACAAAATATTTCAATTTAAATATGGGCAAAAATTAGGGTGGTATTAACTGGCAGTGAAAATACAAATTTGAATGAGATGCCCAATATTATGATTTCATGAATTCGTGGACCATGTAGAGTTTAGATCCCACACACTGATGTACTTCTGTTATCAGTGGTTCTTTAGAATCTAAAACATTCCCTGCAGAAGTCCTGGTTTCTGAAATGACCCACATTACCAGACAACATCTAGGAATCTGACTAGAAACGATATTTATTCACTAAGTCCCTGCAAGTCTCTGACTTTATTCTGTTTCTTTTACCAATCTTCCCTAAAGCCACAATTAACATTTATAGATTACAGATGGATTTTTTCTGTAAGTAACTTCAGCAGTTACCTTAATTCTATAAATAAAAACAAATTTTCAGGTTTCTATTATGAAAATTTTAAAGTAATATCTTTAACAGAGAAAAATAAAAACAAACTAAGATTTATAGATTTTTTTCTCTAACATACTCAACGTATCATCTGAGTGCACATAAATACCCATCTACAAAGTTTTTAAAGTTTCTGTTCTGTCTTCAAATACCTCTCCCTCTTTCAGCTTCCTTCTTTCTCACCCACCTTTGCTCCTGTTTTCTATTTCCTCTTTCACTTTCAGAGATAGCAACAACAGTATGCAACTAGAGGACAGGCAAAGCCAGGATGTCAACAGAATTCCCTCTAGCCAGATAAAAAGAGGATCAAAGCCAGTGAGAGATAACACAAAAACACCACCATTCCTGTGATGAGGTTAGAGAATAAAAAAGCTATGTGACCAAATGGAGAATCTGTGATCTATTTGGGGCACAGGGCAAGCGTATTAGGCATGCTTGTTACACACTCCACTCAGCAGTGTTATCAGGAATCATTCATTTATTTTAAGGAAGCATTATAAAAGTAATAAATATCTGACTTTCTAACCTCAAGAATACAATGGAGGTATTTAAAAAAATGTTAGTAAGTTTAAAAATCTGAGAGAGGCTGGAATTATGGAGCTAATAAGTAATATTAATAATGCCAAACATACTCGCTAGGATTTCAAATCCACCACCAGATGTCACTATGGCAACTGATTTTAAACATGCACCCAGTGAAATAACTCAATTGAAAGGAAATGAAAAACCAATGCGTACTTCCTAAAAGAATTAGACAAATAGAGGTGAAAATAAAGCTCACAGCAAAATTTTTTTCTGAAAGGATTAATGTCTGCATATTTAACTAAACCAATATTGATGCTGTCTTCTTCCTGATTTACCCCAAATTTATCAGGTATAGAATTAGATGTTCAAGTAAATTGTCAAAAGGTAAATAACAGTTTCCAAGAAAAAATAATTCTTACTACTAACCACTGATAGCTGATATTGCCATGAACTCAAATACTATCTCTGAATAAAGAAGGCCAGCATTCCCACCAACTGACACAAGTGGAAGAAGATGCTTTCAACAAAATAAAGTTACAGTAGGCACTAAATCTGCCAAAGATAATTTAACTGACTCAAATTAACTTTCTTCCCAGAATTTTCCTATTTCTTTGTTTAATACACCTTGGCCCCTATCAAGTCCTAATGCTAAAGCTTTCAAAAGAACTTTGTCATTAGAGTTTTCAGGCACTCTAACTTAAAAATATTTCTAATTAGCAACATGGAGGAAACAAATTCATAAACTGATCCCTCCTTTCTTAAAATACCATGTCACACACATTTGTTTTGTTGTGCTGTGTTTTGCTTGGTTTGGTTAGGTCTGGAGGTACTGGGAACTAAGCTCAGGGGTTTCACACTAGGCTACATACCCAGTCCTTTTTACTTTGATTATAAGACATTAAAATTTTTTTCTGGTATTAGCTTTTATTACTACAGCAAAATACGGAGACAATCAACTTAAGAAAGGTTTACTTGGGCTCTGCTTTGGAGGTTATCAGTACTGTTCATGACCGACTGGCCCCATTACTTTTGGGCCTGGGGTGAGGTAGTCTATCAGGGTTGCAGTATATGGCAGAGGAGGCGGCTCACCTCATGGTGGCCAGGAAGGGAAAGTGAGGAAGGGGTCAGGCACACTCCCAGTGACCTACCTTCCTCCTACCAGGCCAGAACACTTAAAGGATGCATCACCTCCCAGCAGTGCCACAGGCTGGTGATCAAGCCCTTAACACATGGGCCTTTGGGGAGCACATCCAAACCACAACATTTTGGAACCAAGCTTTAAGGTTTAATATTTGATGGTACATATCACACAGCTTTTAAAAAGAGGATGTGTGTGTGCATTAACTACATAGACAGGTGTCACTAATTTCCAAATTGAGTGAAAAATACAAACCTATTCTAAAGGAGTATAAAATATTTCATATACATTTAGTTATGTTTGGAATTTTTTAAATCACACACAAACACAATGATATAAACAGAAAAAAACCAAGATATTCAGAGGATAAAAAAATCCAGTAAACCTGTAAATTTCTAAAAATGGATTTTAAATCTGTAAAATGCATACAATAAAAAACATAAATAGCTATATCAGTCTGTTTAAAGGTTTGTCAGTACAATCTTATTTATCCCTCTGTATCCTACATATACTTTTTTTTAAAAAATACAATTTATTGTGTATACTAAGGGTACATAAAATTATGCAATGGGATACATATATAGTAAAGTTTACTACAGTAAAGTAAATCAATGTATCTGACATCTCACATGATTACCTTTT